GGAATGTAACTTAAAAATAGCTCATTGATTCCATTCAGCATCCCTCTCCCCAACTTTGAACTAATTTGCTTAAACATCAGTTTTAATATTTATTTCCTTTATTTTTGTCTTAGCATCTTAATTTCGTTTCCTTGTTCTGATGGTGTCTACTAATCCTTCATGCTTTTGCAAAGCTGATTTTTCTTTGGAATGAATATCATACAAATTAGCTGCTGTTTGATTAGCATGCAATTATGATGTGACTCATGACAGTTTAGACAAAGCATCTTAAGAACAAGATAAATGTTTGACTGATATCTCTACAATGCTGTAAATATATAATAGTTTATTAGCACTTCTAGGTTTGCTAATCTCTTCTTAATTTGCCTTCTGTACTGTAGTGTTTCAATAGAGGGATGATGTTTCCACACCTCTGCTTCTCCTTGACTAAAACTGAATCGCCCTAAAGTAAATGATGTTATGAGTACCACTGTCTTATTAGCTTTGGCATCTCCACTAATTATGGATGCTAATTAATGTATAATGTGACCTGTAGCAAAACATTGGACTATTTAAATGGTTGGCTCACTTCCATCCAAAAGGTGAAAGGAGAAGTAGTGAAACTTCCTGTGGGAAGGCACAGAATGATGAATTTGGAAGAGCTTCACTGTGCGATCTAATAATGGATAAAAAGGCAACTGTTTGGGAATTAAATAAATTCTGTTCTCAGCTTTGAATGTTGTGTCTGGGAATCCTTTCATGTACATGCTTGTTACTGCACACTCCTAATATCAATTAAACATTATTTCTTAATAGATTCTTATAAAACAGATAAAATGTAAGAGTTTTCCTTTTATGTGAATGAAACAGTCGCACTCCTGACAGATGAGCTGCTTCTATCATAGACCAATAGAAATACATTGCCCATTCAGGACTTTGTTGAGGCAGAAGTCTATGTTCTTCAATTTCATCCCACTAGTCAAGAGATTTGAGGACGGAATGGGAACATAGGTGATACTTTTTTTAATTTTTAATGCCAATCTTAGATTCTGACCATAAACAGGAACCAGTAGATCCTTGTTTCTCAACCTTGGCAGCTTAAATATGTATGGACTTCAAGAGAAAGAGCCGAGGTGGGTAGTGGTTAGAGTGCAGTACTGCAGGCCACTTCAGCTGACTGCTATCTGCAGTTCAGCGGTTCTAATCTCACCGGCTCAGGGT